AAAACCCCAAAAAAAAAAAAAAAAAAAAAAAAGCTACTCATAACTATTCATTTAAGTAAAGGCATTTAAAATATTGCACAATTTAGTAATTCTTCACTCTTCTAGTGGTCTAAATCTGACTTACCACATAATGGAAGATAATTATAAAAGTAGGAATTGTGTTTGTGATATCAAAACAAAAAACCCTCCTTGCTAAAAATGGAATTGAAGCTGCCAACCTCAGGAAAACATTTTAAGCAAAATATCCTGAATCCTGTCTCCATGTACAACTGCCATAGAACATGAACCTAGCAACATTCCTCCCACAATTATAACAGTGTCCTCTACTATTTCTGAGTTCTCACTTCTCAAAATACCATCACATTTCAGTTTGTTAAACCTTACGTGGGTGGAACCAAGTGGACCTAGATCCACCAGGATTAATACTTTAGAATTCAGAGAATTATCATTTTTGTTAAATCAACTTAACTTTAGTAAGAGACTCCTGTTATCATAAGAACATCGAGAGGTTGAAAATAAACTTTTAGTATCATATTGAAAACATTTTGATATATAGCATATAAAACATGATGCCTAAATAGTATATTCGTAACACTTTATTAGCACCATCCCACTGAAATTCTCAACATGTCTATACGCTAAATAAGGATACACAAGCAACACGGAATACCTGCAGGGCGGTCAGGATATTGGCCAGGGCTTGACCATACGTGTCGTGACAGTGAACCGCCAGGGCGGCTGGCGGGATTTCTTTCATGACCCTCTCCAGCATTCTCTTCATGCTTCCTGGCGTTCCTACTCCAGTTGTGTCTCCCAGAGAGATCTCATAGCAGCCCATGCTGTACAGTCTCTTAGATACCTGCTGAGAAGGGCGAGTTGTTGTAAAACAGGAAGACTCCAATTCTCTTGTTCCTCGGCGAAAGTCACCCCGCAGTAAAAAATCATAACTAAGTTATCAATGGAAACACAGACTTTCATTTTCAGCCCTTTCCCTTGTTCATTGAATCCAACACCTGCATAAAATGTGGAACGAAATCGCTCACTCTAAAGATTCAATTTTATCTCAGAGTCATATTTATTTAATATGTTTGCTTTTGAAATTATAAGCTTTCATTTCAGATATGGGTGGCTAGCGTTTCTCAACACTCTAATCAAACAGCAGCAGCATTATAGACTTCCTTCAGGACTGTGAGGTCTGCAGGGGTTGGATTAGACGGTAAGCAATGCCAGTCATGGTTTCAGCTGTACCACTAAATAGTTTTGCAATTGGTACAGTCTGTCAATATTCCTGGCTTAGTTTTCCTGGCTCCTTAAGGAATGAACTTGTGCAAGGTTAACTGGAAGTTCTTTGGAAGCCTGATGATGAATGTGCATGCAGGCTATGCGAGAGATTTTGACAAGGATCAAAGCTCAGAGAGGCCTAGACTCAGCTCCCACATATGCTAGTCAGGAGATGCTACGGGAAAGGTTAACCTATTTAGGTGTCTAATCTGTAGAAGGCAGGCAACGCACTATCTTCGTTTGGCATGTTTTCTAAGCTTTAATTACCTCATTTAAAAAATGACAATCAAAACAATGTTAATGACATGCTTACTTCTGTATTTAGATTGAGAATGTAGAAAAGTCACTTTATAGAAAATCTGGCCCGTAGTAGTCATTCATTCATACATTTGACGTATACTTCTTCAGGGCCCCTATTTCTATGCCAGGCACAGTGCTAGTTGTTGAGATGTAACAGAAAAACAAATACGGACGGGTTTCATGCCATTACAGATTGGAGCCAAATGAGGACAGAGTTTAGTCCCACTGAGAAATGTATAAATAAGAACTCTGAAATAAAGCAACAGGATTCTATGAGCATGTAGCAGTGGAAATTGAGCTAGATCTGTCGGACAGGAACGGCTTATGGGACAATATGAGATGACAGTGAATTCGATGAGGGTGAGAACGAAGGGTCTGAAAGAGCGTTCCATAAAAAATGCCGAATTCAAAGGTCATCAGGTTTCTGTCAGCTCAAACAGGAAATGCAAAGAGGGTTCCAGGCAGAGAAAAAGCCAAATGAAAAAGGACAGTGTGATGAGAAAGCAAAACCACTAGGGGAAAAAAATAAATAAATAAAAGACTAGAGGCTTGAAAACAGCAATCGCAGACTGAGTAAAACAATCACTTAAGAAAGAGTGAGTTCACCACAAAAGCTATTACAATAGCACAAAGGCCCCATTTAAGATGGGTACAGATCCCGGATGTCTAATGGGTCCAACTGGCATGTCAGGAATGGAGTGTGTCATACAGACAAGAGGTGTAAGAGCAAGGAACTCAGCATTAGGCAGGGATGGACTCAGGTTGTGTGGGGCCTGAATTTACAGCCTTCTGTAGATATTCTTTAAGAGAAAAATATACGATTTGTGGATTTAAATTAATAACAGAATCTTGGAGGGGTCCTATGCAAGGAAAGCTCCACCTAGTCTCAGCTTCACACTTCATAACACTGTTGCCTCTATGGACACGGGTCCTATTTAAAAACAAGATGATGACACAGCTCTCAGGAAAATTATCTGCAGTAAGTTCCCAAAGCTCAAATGAGTGTGCAAGTGGGAATAGCTTTACCTGAACTGAAAGTTTAGGGTTAACCCTAACCACAACTCCAACACTAATCCCTAGCCTATTTAGGTGGCTAAACACAGCGAGTGGCTTTTTCACCTTCATCAGAGGGCTGGGCATTTTGTAGCACACACTTAGTCTTTGCCTTGGATGCCTGAGTAGCAGCTCTTGTTGGGCTCCTTCCACTCTGGCATGATGCTCAGTGCACACTGTGAAGGATCAGAACAAGATCTGCTCCCCTGGCACCCAAGGGAAAGTCTATGCATGTACAACGGACCACAGGGACATCTGATGGAGAAACAGCCACTTGCTGTGTTACAGCCTCGTACAAGCACAGTGGGGCTCTTTAGTCTCTCCAAAGTTTAAGAAACCAAACAGGAAGATTCAAAATACACAGGGGATGTGGAAGAGTTTGGTGCCAAAATGCAGCAGTTATAAGTGACCAAACATATCTTCAAGAGTAGTTTCCATTCCATGGCTCTCTTTAGTTTTTGCTCTATTGAAGTAGTAAATGCTGTCATAAAAAAAACAGATTTTAAAATAACATGCACTATTTTACCATTAACCAAAAAGGCTGGAGATGTATCTTACTTCTGTCACTTTTTGTGGCGTAATGCTTCCCTCATACGGACAGCCCAGGGCACAAGACACATACCTAAATTTAAAACACAGAACTATATCAGTGTGGATTTGGTAGACAAGTCACTCCTAATTTCCACTTTATAAAAGTGAAGAAATAAAAAAATGCATTGAGAAAATGTATTTATACTGTTATTATGCATTCTTTTTCATTATTATTTTATCCTCATATGAAACAAAAACAATTTACATGCATTTTAATTAATTCACATTTTTGTCTTCTCCAATAACTACAATTTGACAGTATGTTATTTGATGGCAAAGGGAGGCAAAGTAAAAGGTATTTGTCTTGTGAGGATGTTTATATTATAGAAACATGATAAAATTCATAGAGTTTTACTTAAAAAATTCTATGCATTCAACGGTTAAACATGCAGATCTTTAGGATTATACATAAGACCATGTGAAAGACTTACACAGTTTCCTTCTGTGTTTCATCTGGACACTTCAGTATCATTTAGGTACAGTCATTAATTAATCCCAAAGCTCCTAGAACTGAGCATAACTTCAGAGCTCGGCTTGTTTCTCTGTCGTGAGTTTACTTAAATCATTCCAAATGGAAGAAGAGTGTCTAATGCATTTAAAAGGCTCCAAATAAAGATATTCTGTGGGCTTCTTTAGCAGCTCGCACTCATATATATAAAAGCCAAAGTTTTCTGCAGTGACAATGATTCCTTTCCATTTTAAATAAGCTTTAGGACAAGAGGACAAGCGGTTTTAGCTATTTTCAGCTCATCACCAATCCCATTTCATTAAACTTTGCTCAAGATTTTTACAACACCAGTATTGAGACAATGCAATTATCTCTAGTTGCTTAATCATGCTGGTTGGGAGTGAAGCAAAGGGCAGTGGGGAAGGAGACTGAAGCAGAGTCCTTTGGTCCAGGATAGAAAGGCTTTGGGATAACAAGGGCCCTTGAATGCAACTGCAAGGAGGAGACTGCCCTGTGAGTTGTCTCAAAACTATTCTGATCAGAATCTGTGGAGACCTTCTGCCTTGGACTGAGAGAAGGGCAGAAAACATGAACAGTACAATCCGACCTGGATGATCTGACTAACTCAGAAAGCAGGCTACAAGCTTTGAGTAACTGTGTTGAGCTAAGGTTACCTGCCACCATTTTGAGGGATAAGTCCCCTTACTTCATGGTCCTAGGAAGGCTGCCTTTTGAAAACTGAACTATTTATAGCTGGGCAACTCATGAAAACATAATAAGGCACAGGGAGAACTTTCAGACCCTGAAGGCCTTTCCCCAAAGCAATTGGTCACTAGGAAGTGGGGTGCAATCGCATTTGAAAACTTTTAGAACTGGACTGAGTTTTTAATTGATTTTGGATGAGAACAGATAAAGATACAGATAAAAAGAGCACTCGAGATTTATTAAGGGTCTAAGAAAATCGGACTCTCGTCTCCTTTAAAATATAAATGAATATTAATCTTTATAAGCAAGTTATGATGAAAGTAAAATGTTATCATATCCTACAATGTTTTTCTAGAAGAAATCTATAATTATCTCTAGTAGCTTAATCATTAATTCGCATTGACTCCTTGTTCTCATTATAGTGTTTTCTATTTTTACTTTTTTCTGGAAACTTCAGAAGAAATTCAACAGGTACAGCTCAAAGGATGACTCTTGCATTTTATAATTTTTTAAACAGTGAATGAATGTTTTGTTTGGTTCATAGCATGAATGTGAAAATCCACATGTTAGGCTTTCAGGGGGGGGTGCACACTCAAAGTAATCTTAACCATGGATCAAATCACTCTAGGACAGTATGCAGGGTTTGTACTTTGCCATACATAGCTACCCGGTTTTTTATTTTATAACCTACTTTATAAGAATTTAAACAGTGAAACTACTAATGGCACCCTGTGATCATTTTCTTCTTAATTGATATTTTCACAAAGAGAGTGAGCACATGGTTCATGTGACTTTCTTAAACAGAGGTTTCCACTTACTTTAGACAAAAAGCAATGACTCCTAATTATCTTAAAGGGTACAGTAGAACATTCTTTTGCACCTTAAAACACTACAGTTTAAAAGGATGCTGGCAAACCGATAGTTATTTCTTGCAAATGTGGCCTTTATAGAAATGGAAAGAAAACAATTTACACCAGGCTTTCATTTCTTGGTTTTGAACTTTTTTAAAGTTTAGACAAATAATAATGAAGTAACCTAGATTTTTAAAAATATGTGACACATAACTTATATCCTAAAAAATTAAATACAATACACACACATTTCATTGTTCACACACAAATGCGGATAGCAGCAGGATAGCAGCTGATCCAGTATTATTTGTCACTGATAAGGCCTGGTGCCTTTCCAGACTGTGTATCAGAGGTGAGGAAAGTTCTGAGCATGTATGAAAACATACATTTGTATGTGGTGGATATGTTGTGGGCAACAGTTGAGAAGCAGCCTTTGTAACTCTAAGGAAAAGTTAGTCCATATTAAAGTTACTATTTTTAAATAATGTGAATGGCTTCAGTGGGCATGTATAAAATATACAGTGCATTATGGCCTTCAAATCTGACAGTTTATGATGTAAATTCTCTGGAAGATGACTGCATGATGCATGGCTGGACTTTAGGATAAACTGAAGTTTCAGTGCTACGTTCTTCCAGAAGTGGGCACCGATGGCATCAGATCTACTATAGCAAGCACCTGTATCTAGATTTCTTGTAAAAGTAAAATCTTATTGAAACTCTACAAAAATTTGGGTAAGGATAAAGGTACTGTAATTTGAAACACACAAACAGGTGATGAGCTCATACTCTGAATACTGTTCCAGAAAACCCAGAGGTTAATTTCCAATGGAACAAAGTCTATGTAAAGTCATAGATGTGCGTACTATAATTCTCCAAAACTTTTACTGATTTCATTGACTGTGAATCAGTTCTAGTCCATCATGTAGTGTTGAGGCTTTCATACTGAAGCCTGAAAGGTAGATATTTCTTTAAGGATGGAGCAATATTAATTGTCTCATAGTGAATTTGAAGATAATTTCAGATTTTAATTAGCTCAATTGCATGTATTTTTTTTTCTGTAAGTGAAAATTAAGATAGTGCTTTCCTTCTTAAAGTTATGTGTTTTTTTCAACTTTTCTTGGAGACTTTTTCAAAGTTTAGACTGAAGTACATACTGAAATAAAATGGGCTCTTTGTTTTTCTTTCTGCGCTTATGGGTAAGAGAGACAAAGCAAATTATTCATATTTGAATTTAGAAACTTATACTACATCTCTTTTCTTAGCTGTGATTATGTATAATTTGCCTTTACAAAATAAACATCTTTTATTTTGTGCTTATCAGAATACATTATTTCAGCTTTTCAATTTCTCATGAAGGTTCCCAATGATATTTATCTATTTTAATTATAAAAGTAATTTCATAACTTTCATAGCACATTTTGGAGACTTAGTATGGGGACAGGGAAAAGTTTAAAAAGAATAAAAAAAGCAATAGGATAGTTCACGATGGTACAGTCTCATTTTATTCTCCAAATGACCTTGGCTCAGCTCCAGTGCTTTTCTAATATTTTCACTCAAAGCTGATTTATTTGTCTTTTAATTAACTCTCATACCTCCCACTGTGAACTTGGCTCACCTCAACTAAAGGAGATACAAGGAGACCTAAATCAACTTCAATACTCAGCTCTCTCTTACAAGTACTATGTACTCATTTAAGATGATATGGTTTGTTTCTCTGATTTGCACTTTTATAAAATAACAGAAGGTCAGCTAATGTCTCATTTTCTTCAGCAACAAGAAATGCACATTTCACAACCCAAAGCCTTGGTTACAGTTCATGCTGAGCTGTTGGTCCAGGAATCAGGTATGAGCCAGGCAGATTTTCCTCTGTTCTCTCTCTACGTCCATCTCTCTCGGTTTCCAAGAGCCTCCATCACTTTTCACCTCTGCTTTCTGTCACTTTGTCCTGTCACTAATCTGCAGGTGTCTCCACCCTAGGAGCACTCAAATATTGAAATCAATCTCAAAATTATACAATCTTTCAAACTGAGTGACTGTGATTAGTATTCCAGTTCTAAAGTCCCGAGAGGGAAAACTGGGTTTGTGAAGCTTGTATCAGTGTTCCTCATCTTGCCTGTAGTTGGGATATCATAGAGTGGAAAGCAGATGGCTCAGATCATGAGCAATGCAGCTTCTATGGGAAAATTGAGCGGGGGGTGTGGTGGGGAGCCAATATCTTGGATGTACCTGCACTACAGAAATACGTGACTCGGAATAGAAATCAGAACTGACCTGAACTGAAGTTGTTAGCATTTGTCTTCTGTGTGCAGTTGTCTGTGTATTTTTAAGTGTCCTGTGAATTGCTCTAGTGGTGTCTTGGTGCTGGCCAGACAAGTGGGGGGAAGTCAGCCTTCAAGGGGGGGGCCGAATGGAGGTAAGGCTGGGTCCTTCTTCCCAGAGTAGCTCAGAGGCTGAATTCAGCAGAGTCTATTAAAGTTATATGTAAACATTTTCTTAGAAGAAAAGTGATGCTTTTAGAATAATAGATCTGTAAAGCACATGAGATTATCCCTTCTAAAAGTTATCACATTTTTATCAATTTATCAGGGTATTCAAGTCTGTGATCCAAAGGTAGCTGCATCTAGCTACCCAAATATTAGTAAAATAGTTACTTCCAGATTTACACAACATTCCCTCTGATGTCAATCCTATTACACAATCCCAGGCTAATAATTATTAATAACATTAAGGAGAGATCACTATGTGAGGTATGGTCAAAATATACAATGAATATTTAACTTTTAAACATTTCCTTAAAGACACATTGCCATTAAACTCTCTTAAAATACTCCCCTATTCGATCCCTGGTACCAGAAAAATAAAAATAAAATAAATAAAATAAAATTCTCCCCTGCAGTTCAAGCACACTTATCCCGTCCTTCTTCTCACTTTCTGAAGCAGTTCTGGGAGCACCTTTAATAACTTCCGTTGTGCTGTAGTGGCTGCCTCCAACTTTGGAATTGCACTGATTTAAAATGGCGACCTTTCATGGTATGGGGGAGAACCAGCGGTCACACTGTACCAGGTCCAGAGAGTAAGGTGGATGGAGACACACCGGCATGTTTTGTTTGACAGAAAAATTCACGTGAGAAATGTTATATGTGTGAAATGAAGCGCTATCACGGTGAAAGATGGAGTTGTCTGCCACTTCTCAGGCCATTTTCTGTGCACATAATTTCCTAAAACCTTTAATAGCCCTTGTAATTTTCAGTTCGCTGTAGTGTTTCAGGGTACAAACTCAACCTGCATGATTCCTTCAAGATCAAAAAACAATCAGCATCATCCTGATGTTGGATCTGTATTGATGCGCTTTTGTTACAGGAGGAGAACTGGGTGATTTCCATTGAAAGCTCTTAACCTCAGTCTTGGGATCATAACCATACTCCCAAGGTTCATCTCCAGTGGTGACTTTTTTTTTGGTTTTTTGAGACAGGGTCTCACTTTGTAGTTGAGACTGATCTGGAACTCGCTATGTAGTCCAGGCTGGTCTAGAACTCACAGCCCTCCTGCCTCAGCCTCCCGAGTGCTGGGATTACAGGTGTGCGCCACCATGCCTGGCGTGGTGACATTTCTTTAAGAGCTAGAATCTGAAGAAGCAGGATCATACAACTCTGGTGAAATACACTGTTCTTGATCTGTAATTTATGTCACACTTTAAAATACACCTTCTTTAAACCACAGCCCACGCTGACTGTGCCAAAGAAGTTGAAACTTTTCATACACTATTATTATATTCGTACTTCTTCTAGTGAACAATTCTCTTTCTTTCTTTCTTTTTTTTTTGCAGTACCGGGGACCAAACTCAGGACCTTGCACTTGCAAGGCAGGTTCCACTGAGCTAAATGAACAGCCCTAAACACCCCTATGTTTCCGCTGAATGGCTATAGGCAAGAGTAAACACTATATTTTTTCATCATACCTCATATAGTGATTTCCCTTATTAAATAAGGTACAAATAGGATGCTATGTGTATGTTTTTCAAGATTTGTGAAAGAAACAAGAGTATTACATAAGGAATCTTCAACAACAAATGTTAATGGAAGAGAATGTGTGGAATTTCCTAAATACCCTCGTGCTGGAATATTCATTTGCCTTGCAGACTTAATGACATCTTCAAATTTTCCCATACTTTCTTCAATGGAACAGTTAATATTCTTCTTGCAAAAGGATTCAGATGCAGCACCAAAAACCGATATCTCAGTGGCTCCAGCAGCAACCTGAAAGGTATAATTTAAAGCCAAATGCTAAAATTTCAATTGTAAATTATAGCAAAAGATTGCTCTATAAAGACATGCTTAGGTCCTTTAACATTTGCCTAAAATTTAAAATTATACCTTCTCATCTTGCCACATATGTGCTTTCAAAATGGAAAAAGTATAATAACAATAATTTCACAAACTGTAACACACATTGATTTTAGGAGACACACACACAAAAAAGTGACCATGTTCCAATTTAGTTTTGACTTTCAACCTGTTATTCTCAGAAATGCTTTAACCCTATCATAGAAAATATATGCCCCCCAAATAAAACTTTTATTTTCATAGAAAACATTATTTTCAAACCATTTATTAAAACAGAGGTTAGTAAATTCTATTTTTCTTCTCTTCTTATAATCCAACAGAAAATTATTTTTCCAGTTCATCGTTTAGATTTTTGCCCAAGACTTTTTCTCCCATCTTTAGACTTTGTTCCTACCATTTCACAGCCTAACAGCTTCAGCCATCCTGTTGTGTGCCTAAGGCTCTCAAGCTCCTGCCAAGTCTTTAAACCAAAATGTTAATGGAATCAACTTCCCATTTTCCCCATTTATCCTCCCTCGGGCTTCTCCAGTGACTCATTTTCAAGGGTCAAACCTCCTAGATTTTCAAGATCTTCTGTTAATATGTACTAGTACTCTGCCTAAATTTCCTTGATCCCTGTCAGTGGTACCCTACCAACACAATAAGAAAAAAAATTACCATGTAATCTTTCCTCCAACATTTATTGTTTTTTTCTTTTTATTGAGTTTGTTGGTACATACCAAAAAAAAAAAAATCCTCCAACATTTAAAAAAATATGAGTTCCTATATCTCAATCCAAAGTAAATTTTGCACCTTTAACTTCAAATTATATTTATTGAACACCTACTAGCTGCCAGTACTTTATTAGTACTTTACATGTCCTTTTTGTAATCCACAAACAACACTGAAACTAATTTCCATGATGCCCACTGGATAGATGAGCATATTGTACCACGAGTGAGCTAATGAGCTTGCACAGTCTCACACATTTAGCCTCAGTTTTGCAGCTGTGTTTTGAGCTGCTTGACTCCTAATCCAACATTTGGTCCATGCCACTGCTTGCCCTTCAAAATTATAACAAATTCCCTTCAAAATTATAATAAATAATATAATATATTATTATACTAAAGACTTCTTCATGTCTTTGTCATGTTGCAGCCATTCTCTACTGTGCTAGAACAATACAACAGCAGTAGTTACACATTCTTAACGTGCCTGTTTCTTTATACTAAAATAAAATTACACCAAATTAAACAAAAAGAGAATAAAGTGTTCTAACACCATTCACATTAGTAAATAATCCAAATAGTAACCACAGCACTAACTTTATGTAATAAAATCTAAACAAAAATGAAAAATAGTAATGCTAGAAGTGGCTACTACAAAACTTTTGCCATAACCCCAAAGAACCCTAATTCTGCAAGTGTTTATATATAATTTTATTATTTTCCTGCATGTGTAATCATTTGAGCTTTTATTTATATCATATAAATGTTTAAGTCATGCAAGAGCAGAACAAAGGAAGTAGAAGAGGAATAGAGAAAGCCACTACAGGCTTATATGATGACAAAGGTTAGCTTCACCTAAATGAAGGAAGAAAGAAAAACAAAAAGCAGGCAAAAAATTCTCAAAATGTTCATCAATTTCAATAATATTGGTGGTGACATTAGTGCATGGAGGTGTGTTTAAGTTGTACTCTTTATTACTTACTAAAGAAGGACACACAGAATATGCTTTCAAAAATTTTCATTATGGGGTATGGGCATCCAGGTTGTTTCCAAGACTTAGCTATTACAAACTGTGCCTCAATAAACATGGGTGTAGATATATCACTATGATATACTTTTAATTCTTTTGCGAAGGTTCCAAGAAGTGGAATAGCTGGATTGAATGGAACATCTAGCTTTAAGCATCTGAGGAATCTCCACAGTGGTTTCACCAGTCTACACTTCCACCAACAGTGGAAAAGTGTTTCTTTTCCCCCACATTCCCACCAGCATTTACTATTGGTTGCTTTGTTGATGGCAGCCATTCTTTCTGGAGAGAAATGGAATCTCAGCATTGTTTTAATTTGTATCTCTTGAATGACCAATGATGATAAATGCTTTTTCAAATATTTATTTGCTGTTTCTACTTCATCATCTGAAAAGTGTCTATTCATTTCAGATGTTCATTTTTGGATTGAGTTTGTACATTTGGGGGGAATCTAATGTTTTTAGTGCTTTATATATTCTAGATATTTGTGCTTTATGTGAGGAACAAAAAATTTTTCCCATACTGTGGGTTGCCTCTTCACTTTTTTTGTGGTTTCTTATGTTGTACAAAAGCTTTTTAGTAAGGTGAGATTCCAGTTGTGATATTTGCTGTGTTATTGGAGTTTTGTTCATAAAGTCTTTAGCTACACCAATGTTGTCAAGACTTCTACCTATTTTATCTTCCAGCAGATTTTGTGTTTCTGTTCTAATACTGAGATCTTTGATCCACTTTGATTTTAGTTTAGTATATGGTGAAAGATATGGGCGTAGTTTTAAACTTTGGTGTGTGGAAAGCCAGTTTTTCCGGCACCATTTATGAAAGAGGATTTCTTCTAGGAAAGGTGTTTGGCTCCTTTTTCAAAGACAAGGTGGTTGAGTATCTTTGAAGTTGTTTCTGCATCTTCTTATCAGTTCCATTGATCCTAGAGTTTGTTTCTTTGCCAGTACCAGGCTGTTTTTAATCACTGTAGCTCAGTAGTATAATTTTAAGTCAGGGATTGTGATGCCTCTGGCCTTGCTTTTTTGCTCAGAATTGCTTTCACTTTTCTAGGTGCCTTCTGGTTCCAAATTCATTTTAGGCTTATTTTCTTTAATTCTGATATATGTTATTTTTATTTTGATCAGGTTTTTATTATAGCTGTATAAAATTTTTGAATGTATGGCCATTTTTACTATATTGGTTCTTCCCACCCAAATATGAAGGATCCATTGTTCCATTTTCTGATAACCTCTTTGAATTCCTTTTTCAGAGTACTATAGTTTTTGATGTAAAGGTCTTTTACTTCATTAGATTGATTCCTGGATGTTACATCTTTTAGATTTTATTATAAAAGGTATTGTTTCTCTAATTTTGCTCTCAGTGAGTTTGCACTGTATAAGAAAGCTATTGATTTTTGAGTGTTGACTTTGTATCTAGACACACTATTGAATTTGATTATTAGGGGGTTATCTATTTACAGTATCATGCCATCTGCAAATAACAATAATTTAACTGCTTCCTTTCCTATATTTATTTCTTGTATTTTTCTATTGTCTCATTGCTCTAGCTAATGTTTCCAGAATTATATTGAATATGAGTGGAGACTGTGGATATCTTTGTCTTGTTCCTGATTTTAGAGTGAAAGCTTTTATATTTTGTCCATTTACTGTTTGCTGCTGGTTTGTCATAGATGGTTATTATCAGATGAAGAACATTTATTACAATGTTTTGAATTATCCTGAATGGATGTTGGATTTTTTTTCTGCATTTATTGAGATAATCATGTGGTTTTGTGCTTGTCTCTATTAATATGGGATATCATATTCATTGATTTGCATATGTTGAACCATCCTGGGCCCTGGAATGAATCTACCTGGTCATGATATGTAATCTACTTGCTGATTTGCTGTGTTCTGTTTGCCATTATCTTATTGAGGATTTTTGCTTCTATGTTCTTAGGGAGATTGTCTTGTAGTTCTCTTTTTTTCTTTGAATATGTGTCTGGTTTTAGAATCAAGATGATGTTTGCTTCTAGGAATTAATTTTTCAGTATTGATTCCCTTTCAATTTCATTAAAGAGTTTGAAAACTATCAGCATAAGGTATTCTCTAAATGTCTTGTAGAACTTAATAATAAATCCATCAGGGCCTAGTCTTTTCTTTGTTAGTAGGTTTTTAATTACATCTTCAATTTCATTGACTAATATTGATTTATTTAGAATTTTTACATTTTCCTGATTTAGCTTTGGTAATTCATATTTATCTAGGAATCTGTCCATTTTTTTTCTGTGTTTCCATCTTATTAAAATAGTTTCTCAAAGCAAATATTGATGATCTTCTGGATTTCTGTAGGATTTGTTGTGATTTCACCCTTTTTGTTGCTAATTACATGAATCTGAGTCTTCCTCTTTTTGATAAGGTTGACTGTCACTTTTATTTAATCATTCAAAGAATAAACTCTTCAATCACTGAGCCTTTGTATTGTTTTCTTAGTCTTAAATTGCATTAATTTCTGCTCTAATCTTTATAATTTCTTCCCTCATATAAGTTTTGGGTTTGACTTGCTGCTCTTTTTCCAAAAGCCTGAGATTTAACATTAGGTTGTCTATTTTACTGTTTTTCTGATATGAGAGATCACTGCTATAAATTCACCTCAAAGGTCTGCTTTTATTGTATCCTTTAAGTTCAGGTATGTTCTATCAGCATCATTATTTAATTGTAGAGACTGTCTGATTTCTTCTTTAATTTCACCAGTGACCCATTGATTGTCCAGGAGGGTGTTATTTAATTTTCATGTGTTTATGAAGTTCTTATGGTTTCTTTTGCCATTGATTTAAATTTCAATTCACTAGGTCTGATTGGATGTATGGGATAATCTCAGTTCCTTCCCATTTACTTAAGCTTGTTCTATGAGCTAATATGTAGTCTATTTTGGAGAATATCTCATGTACAATTGAGAATACTGTATGTTCTGATGTTGTGGGATAGAACACTCTGTAGATTTCTACTAAGTGCATTTGTTCAAAATTTTGGTTCATTTCTGATATTTCATTGTTAATTTTTTTCCTAGTTGATCTATTTGTAACAGTGGAGTAATAAGGTCCCCCATTACAATTGTATTAGTGTTTATATAATATTTCATGTCCACTAATATTTGTTTTATATAGTTGGTTGTACTAGTATTTGGTATGTATATATTTATGATTGTCAGCTCTTCCTCTTGGATTATTTCTTTAACAGGGATGTAGTGACCTTCTTTGTGTCTCTTAACAGTCTTGGCTTCAAATCCATTTTTTCTGCAAATAGAAAACCTACCTCTGCTTTTTTCTCAGTTCCTGTCACATGGAGTACAGTTTTCCATCCTTTGACTTTCAATCTATAAATTTTGTTTTTCAGTTAAATGTGTTTCTTGTATGCAGCATATTGTAGGATCCTGCTTCTTGATGTATTCTGCCAGTCTGTTTCTTCTGATTAGTGAATTAACACTGATGGTTATATCTGAGATGTATTGACTTTTCCTTATTGTTTTCCTGTTGCTGGGTCCCTTTTTTCCTCTCTGTTTAATGACTAACCTAGTCTGGTGGATTCATTCTGTTAAACTTCATGGAGCTGTAATCCTTGTCATCTCTTTCTAAAATATCCTTCAGAATAATTTGGAGTGCTGGTTTGGTGGTGATTAATTTCTTTAGGTATTCTTTGTCATCAAAATATCTTATTTATCCAACAATTTTGAATGACAGCTTTGTGGGGTACATCAATCTGGGTTATACATTGTTTTCTTTTGGATCTTGAAATATTTCACTCCAAGTTTTCCTTGACTTGTGTTGGGGACTAGGCTATGTAATTTAGATCTCACAGTTTCAAGGTTGGTGTTTTCTTGCCTTGGGAACAGGGAGATATGAAGAAGGCTACATACCCCCAGGGTATGGCCTGGAATATAACCTAGCACTCCTGAGGCAAGACAGAATCTGCTGAGGATAGCTGTAAATATACAGGCATTTGGGTGTAGAGAAAATCTGGTTCCTCATTAACTTAATCCTTATCTATCTTTCTCTATAGCTGCTGTTCCATAAAATGCATGCTACCCCTCCCACTGTGCCTCTCACTGGATTCCCTACTTTATATTTTGAAAACTGTTTCCCAAAATAGCAGCTGAGGTTCTGACCAGCCCACTGTAGGAAGGTCTTTATGGAGAAATCTGCAGTAATTCTGATGCGTTCCCTTTCATAGGTGATTTATTTCTTTTCTCTAACAATTTTTAATATTCTGATCTTGTGTTGAATTTCTTGAATTTCAACTGTTATATGCCATGGTATAGTTTGTTTTTATCATGGATAATTGAAGTTCTAATATGCCTCACTTATCTATATTTCAAATAATTTTTCTGTTTGGGAAGTTTTCTGCCATTGCTTCTGTGAACAGGTTTTTTTTTTTATGTCATTTGTGCTATCTCCTGCTTTTTCATTGACACTGATAAATCGTACGTTATTCTTCTTTGCATCCTCTAGCAACTATTAGATTGAGTTTTCATTGTCCCTTGCTATTTTTAAGAAATATTTCTTTTTATGATAGCTAACCACAATCTTGTCTTCTGTATCTGATTATTCTGCCTTCACATTTGCATATTCTGCTGTGTGTATTTTCAATGGCATTTTTAATCTCCTGGATATCTGTTTGAATCTGTTTCATGGATTTCATTTTTTTTCCTATGTTGGATAGTCATGGTTTCCATCATTTTCCTAAGTTCCTCTATTTATTTAATCTGTGTCTGCTCTAGACATGCTTAACATGTTTGCATTATGGTCATCATTTCTGTAGTTATCTGAGAAATCATTTCTCATTTGATTTTTTTTCTAAAGCCTCATTAATCTGCTTTGTTACTTCCACTGTTTCTACTTCAGAGAATACGGGTGGATGTTGTTTTACTTTTCCACCTCAATGGCCCCTAGGTTTACCTTTGGTGAGCTAGAAGTCTGGAACTGTATTTTGCTTAAGTGTCTTCTCATTTTTATTTTTTAAAAATTTAATCCCTGGGTTGATGCTTACAAATTGTTTATCATGAGTAGCTTTGTCACTAGTATTTTTTTTTTTTTATTGAGTTTATTGGTACATTTAGGGATACAGTACAGTTACATTCATTGTTGGGATCATGTACCTTTACATGGCAAGTCTTGATTCTCATTTTTTTCCCCTTACCTCTGCCCTCCCTTCACCCCCTCCTCCCCTCCCCATCTACAAACACTTTATTTTCATCTTTTCATTCTCTCACATTTTTTTCTTTTCCCTTTTTGTTCTTCCCCTACGTATCACACCTTCCCTACACCTTTAGCTCCTTTCCTCCCATTTCTAAATGTCAGTAATCTTATTAGAATCTTATGCATTGTTGCAGAATATTCACACCAGGGAAACTATTTGGTATTTACACATGTGGGACTTATTTATTTCACTTAGGAGTATATCTTCAATATGTATCCATTTTCCTATGAATGAATCTATTCTCTCGCTCTTTATGGCTGAGTAATATTCCATTTTATAGAAAAACCACAACTTCTTTATCCAGTTTCCAACGGATGGGCAAATAGGTTGTTTCCAAGATTTAGCTATTACAAACTGTGCCGCTATAAACATGGGTGCACATACTTCTCTGTGATATGATTCTTTTAGTTCTCTTGGAAAGATACCCAACAGAGGGATGGCTGGGTCAAATGGAACCTCCAGTCCAAGCTCTTTGAGGTATCTCCATATTGATTTCCATAGTGGTTGCACTAGTCTGCACTCCCACTATTTAGAATCCTTAGGAAATAACTACTTCTCAGACATGTCTTCCAGGTATAGCTAGCTTTTGGGTTTATAGTCTTTTACAAGATACTACCTCTTCAATTTCTTGGGAATGAGAAGTTGCTGCCTATTTAGCCTAACCCTTACTTCTTTGGCACTGGCCTATAGAATTGTTTATGGTCCCAAGCTAATCTCATTCTTCATATACCAGGCAGAACAACTGATTAGCACATGTCACCTTGGCTATAAAAATGCAATCAAACAGAGCCTAGAAAATGAAAAACCAGGGTAACTATTAATTTTGCACATTTAACCACATGAACTAAACTTATGGTTATATAACAAATTTTAAAACAACCAGAAAATTTTGTACATTAAATAAGCCCTAAGTATAGCAATTTTACTCCCAGGGAAGAAAATTTAAAAGGGATTAGGAGCACAGCAGAGAGAAATAAAAAAGGAGGAATATATTAGAAGCAAGGCTGGATGAAGATTATGGGAACTTTAGGTAACTGATGAAGATGACAGCAGTTAAAGAGAGATGGAAGAAATAAAAACAGTAACAGAATAGAACAACCCCTAGAAACCATTTTTAAACTCATATAAAAACAAGAACAAACAATCAAAAAACAAAACAAGACAAAAAGAAAAAGAAAAAAATCCACTTCAAGGCATATGTCGGCTGTTACTGGTAGACAAAATGGTCAAAATCTAGATTTATGTTGATTAATCCCAGTAAGCCAGCTGTAGCTTTATGTGTGTGTGTGGGGGGGGTAGTGGATAATCCCAGCAAGCCTTCACCTTTAGCTTCACTGAAGTTCAGGCTGCTTTCTGGCTGTGAAGCTGGAATGTGATTTGTTTAGTCTGTATCATTTCATGTGTCTCTTACTAACTTGAACTCAGCAGGCTCACCTGGACACTGGGAGCCACTAGGTGGAGCTGACAGGTGCTCTGAGTCCCAAGCTCAATTGAGTCCTCTCCAAGATGGCTACTGGAACTCTCCTAGGGGACATTTGAACCTGAATAACTCACCAGCCACTGTAGTCCACTGAGTCCACTGTTCCATTCCACTGGTGCATTTCTCTGTAAAGAAGTTGGGGTCACCATGTGTCTGCAGGTTCAAGTTGCCCTTCCCGCATAGGAAGTCAGGGCTCAGGGAGAAAGTGTTACTTATCACTTTCTTCTCCTATGTTGAGGTCTCTCCCTTCACTCTCTCTGTGGGCTTCAATTCTTGTTTCAGATCCTTCCTGGGTCTTGGGGACCCACTTCCCTCTTTCTCTTGGCATCTGGACATCAAATCTTGGAGAGGCTATTTCTCTGCTTCCCGTCACTCTGCCATCTTGATTGGAACTCTCTTTGTTTTGATCCTTGACTGAGTAAACTGGAAGAGTGCTTGATGTGAAGCCCTGCAGGCCCCAGCAGTTCTGTGAGTGTACTCACTGCTGTGCATTTACGTTAGTGTAATTACTACAGTATTTAGATAGGGTGATACAAGAATTGCACATGATACCATTTTAACTTTCTAAAATCTTTAAAACAATGAGAAGCATACCAATTTTAGAGAAAGTAGGAGCGCACTTACAGCACGGTGAAAACCCTGAAGATTTGGAGTAAGAACAGGGTATCGAATGCCAGGATACCGATGGATGCCTTTCATCACTTCAGCATGATCAGCCATCTTAAATATATAATAATTACATATTGATATGTAACCAAATACTCTGTCCAACATATTATTTGCTTTTTCAATTGATTTTAGTTACATATGCAAATATATACTATAAATCGATGTTTGAAATGACAAAGCTATTCCAATATACCTTAAAAATAAAGTTCCCAAATGTCACAGATACATAATAACTAATTGTGAGCTTGACTGATTCATCTAATAGGATCATGTTAAAGCGTGATTTCAGATAACACTTTATTATTTTCAACTGACAAACATTTATTCTTTCACTCTCCTAGTAGAGGGGAGATTTTAAAAGCCAAAATGCTGTGTATTCATCTTCCACATAAAAATGTTATTTGTAAGTCATTCTCAGTGTATCACTTTGTCATGGTCAGTAAGACATAAATTACTGACTTCCATTAGAATAATGAAAAATGCTGAGATTACTTGTTATTTGTACAGTGCAATTGTTTAAGTTAGTAACAGATATAATGCTTTAGGCACTATGATCTTAGCATTATGCTCCATTCTCATAAACACAGAAATAAATATAGTGGACAAATTACTTAGCACCAAAATTTATCGCACATTGTCAAACTTTATTTTCAGAAACTATTTTAAAAATCAAATTTGAATTAAAATATCAACTTCACAGGGTCTATAAATTATTCTCTTAAAGTAATAACTGAGAATCAGATCCCACAATCAGCATATAGAAAAATTACAATTAACATAACCATGATGCTGGCATCTTTAGGAATAATAAATCATGGCATGCACAAGATATTTATAGAAGGAATAATATATAAACAACATGAATATACAAACTGAGCATGAAGAAAGCTGTGTAAACATAAACCAAACCCAATCTTGATACGAAGATGAAGGGCATAAGGCTAGTGTTTTTGATGTTATGGTTGGAATCTAAAATGTTCCTCAGAAGTCTCTGGTTTTGGAAGGTGAATGGATCTTGAGGGTGATGCCCTCATTCGTGGATGTATCAGCAGGTGAGCTTAGCAGCTGAATGTTTTGTCAGAGGTGGAGTCTGGTTGGAAGTAGGCACTGTAGCCTGACCTTGGAAAGGTGTATTCTTGTCCCTGGCTCCTCCTTCTCTCTCTGCCTCCTGGCTGCCATGGGGTGAATACCTTCACCAGAGCCCTCTGCCATGTTGTTTATGCCTTGGAACCAGCTGATCATGCACTGAAACCATGAGCCAAAGTAACTTCCCCCATTTAAGGTGCAGGTGTCAGGTATTTTTTCTCAGCAATGGGAAAGTGAGTAAGACACTTGGCTTGTTATAATGATAATAGATTATTTTCAATTTACACTCAATAAATTAACCAAATATATATAATTTTTCTCTTAATGTGTCTACACACACTTTAAAAATATAAAATATTACAATATTCAATCTGGTCCATTTCAACAATCAGTTAAAGGCCAGCAGACATAAATTTAATATTTTAAATGAATATAATTTGGGTTAAATAAATTAATTTTAAATACATTTTAAATTTAAAATTAAATCTAAGATACAAGCAATACTTCTGATGGCCATCATGCCTTACTGATTACTTCAATCCAAATGCAATTATTTGTTCTTAACATATGATTCTTGCTCACTTATTTCTAAGGTAGCTTATCCATTTTTCCCCACACCACTACTACATCCTTTACAAAGAGTCTACCATATTCATTGACAATGCATAAAAACCAAGTCTCTCATCATTCTAAATTGATCTGATTTTAATCTAGATGCTGAGCATTGAATATATCTGAAGCCCTATTCTACATCCTGTGGAAAATACAAAAGCCAATCCTATTTTCCTGTGAGGAACTGAAACCAATGCACCAAAGTAATGTGTAGCATAGCTGCTACACATGAAGAGTTAACAATTCAAAGCATATATATATAGATCATTAATGAGAGCACAAGACTATGAGAATGTGGAGAGGTTGGTGTGATTTACAAGTCTATGCAAGTTGAAAGAAGATATGGGACTACACAATGAGGTCTTTGATTGTGGCATAGCCTACTGTTTTTGAAGTGGCCACAGTAATATTCCCAGCCCCACATGATTCTCACCTCAATGGATCAAAAGCTAGATTCTATTTATTCTCTCCCTTGAAGTTGGGTAAGCTATAACTGTTCCAACCAAAAGAGTATAGTGGAAATAATACTGTGTGACTTCTGAAGACAGATCACAAATAGGGATATAGCTTCCATGTGCCTTTCTCTGAGGGAGAAGACATCTTGGGAAAATCAGCCAGAACGCCGTAAGAAAGCTCAAACTCACCTACACAGAAAGGCCTCATGAAGACACCCTAATGGAAAACCTCTGTGAAGGGGAACTGAGGCTCCCAGCTGACAGCCAAGGTCCCCTGAATTTGTGACGGATGTCGTGTTGAGGTGACACTTGGCTCCAGAACTCAGGCTGCACAACTGAGACCTCAGGCACTGTGGACCAAAGACAAAAATACTCCCGTACCTTGTTCAATCCCTAGCCATGGAATTAGCGAACATAATAGATGTTAATTCATACCACCAGGTTCTCAGAGAATTCATTTGACAGCCATTAAATCTGGGACACTGAAAGATGGATAGGATTAGAAAGAAAAGGTGAATGCAAAGGTGGAAATATTTTTTTGGCTAGAGTAGATAACTAGTATATAATCAGGAATAAGATTATAAGTGAAGATGGGGGCATACATTGAGACATGTCACTGATTAATACTCCCATCTTTCTAAAGATCCCTAATTTGGCCTGAAGATAACAGAAAGGCAGAGAGCAGGGTTGAAATAACTGAAATTGAAATCAATGGAGTAACATGGAAAGATAAATATGGGAAATTTCAAAGGTCAGACCAGAGAGAGGGAAGGCGATGCTCAGGTAGTGATGAGAATCCTGTTATAAAGTCGTACTGGAAAAAATTTTCAAGGAAAAATGATTTGAACACAGTGGTGTTCAAATAAAAAAGAGATGACTGCAGTAAAAAACAAACAAACAAACAAACAAAAAAGTGTAACCCTTACTCTATCATAGCCTTCTCTGTAAAATACTTAATATTTGTACATATTTCAACACAATTCTTCATTACGTATTCATGAATGTAACCTATGCTCCCAATGCTATTTACAGGGTGGGCCTCTCTCCGTGTCTTGTCTGTCTCTCACACAAATGAGCGTGCACACAGGTATGACAGTGAGAAAATGAAAAGTGCTTCTTTTTAATTTCAAGCTAAAAGCAAAGCGAAGTTACCAGGAGTTTCACTATATTGTAAAGATACCAAAACAGTGCTCTTTACTAGAAAATGTTCATTGAAGTGCCAATGCTTAAAATTACACACAGTATCCTTAAATATTAGAGACCGGATATCACCAAGAAAACAAAAATTAATAGTGTGGTCTCCTAGACAAATACAGATTCGGACAGCAGCACATCACACACAGAATAATGGGGGAAAATCAACCTACAGGAAATATAGGCCATTTTGGCACATAAGGGGTATTTCATTGCATACAATGAAAATTTTGAACCGATTTAAAGAAATTAATCTAATGGAACAAATAATAATTTCTTTTAATAGAAATTTCAGTGGATAGAACAAGGAAACAGAGATAATTATAACCAAATTTCTAGGTTGCAAAAGCTGAATTTTAGTAATCAGTGAAGATATCTTAATTAAATTATAATAAAACAGCTAGAATCCAAAAAATTGATAGTTGTTCATTTTAAAAATAGTTACATATAATGAGACCATTTTGAAATACTATTCTTTGTTAATTTGCCTAAAAATGGCATGTAAATAAAGAGCTTTAAGATACTCTGATAGGATATAATTACATTATAAGGACTGAAACAAAGCATGTTGCAATTAAGTGTATGAAATCCTTACTTTAATGTTTTTTCTCTTGAGGGACTTCATATTATCCCTCAATTTTGATGTTATTTTAATGTCAAAAGTTTAACTATTATTCAAACAATGGAACAAACTATTCCTTTGCATTATTGTTCTGACATTTTAACAAAACCTTTCTACATCTGGTTTGATTCAATATTTTTAAGATTCTGCTGTGGCTTTTTATTTACAGTGATAAGAGGTCCTCATGGTTTGGTTGGCATGTGTTTTGCCATGATTGAACAGAGTCTGGAAATGGGAGAAACCGTGTTAATCTAAACAACAAAACAAACTTACCACGGTTCATTTCTCAGACATCCAGGTTTTGATATGGATTCAAATCTTCAATATAGTCGCACAACACTTTATAAGAGTTTTAAATATATGTAGAGTCACAAGGATTAGAATGTAATAGTCTTATAGTTTAAGGAATTCATCTGCAGCTAACACAGTGTAACTCAGTTAAATAGTCCACTTTACAAGAAAGTATTTAGACATCATGTTGATATTTTTCATTATATATGAACTGTAATCTTTCTCAAGCATTTAGGATCTCAACATGTTCTCTAGGCAATGCCTGGACCTGCCTAGGCATTGTTAGTCCCCACCTCAGCCCTTTCCTAGATTAGCAAATCTTCAGAAGGCATGTGAGTGTACCGTAATGCAAGATGACAAGTCTCTCGGGAGTGTCAGAGAATAACGATAAAGGTTCAAATATTTTTTTGCAAATAGGCTATCAACTTTATGATAGTTGTTGTACAAAAGCTAACACATTTTTAAAATATCATGAGACTTTAAAATAAAGTTTTAAAATGTATTTTAATATTTGACCACTCATTTCAGTACACACTACACTTATTTTACAACTAATATTAGAGAAGAGGAAATGAATGTAGCCCTTACACTGACTTCCTAGACAGGCTGGTAAGGAAGAGTACAGAGTTTGTGTGTCTACATGGATGTGTAACATATAAAAATACATATACCAAAAATACAATCAACACAATTCCATGTGACCAAAAATTCCAGGGAGCACAGATAGGAAAACATTTTTCTCTTGTAGCTCACACTAAAATAATGAAAAATATTTAAGCTCTGCCATAATG